TTTTATTAATAAAGAGATTTAAACAAATTTTCAAAAATATTTTTAACTTATCGTACTTATTTTTTTAACATTTGCAAATTTACCCTCCAGTTTTTAATATTTTATACAACAACAAATAAAAAGTTTATAAAACAAGAAAAATTTTTATCAAAATTTTAAGAAATATTTTTAATAATAAAGGTGCTGGCCCAATGTAGGTTTGCTTTGTTCGCCGTACTGACTTTCGTTTGCTTTGATTTACAAGTACTTTAAAAGCTTGTTTGACCAAATGCAGCTTGGAACGCTGTCAACGCAATCAGATGCGTGGTTAAAGTCTGTTCCCTTAACTTTAAGAATCATTTAATACAAAATACAATATAAATAAAAATATAATAAAAAATAATAGGAACATCGTCTTAAGCTCCTACTCTTTTCAGATTCACTCGCTTCGCTGATTATGAAATTTCTGCGTGCTACATTATTCTAAAAAAAAATCGTGTAGATTTCCTACCTAAAAGGTTGGTTACTGATTTCCTACCTTATTATTCGCGAAATTGCATGCTCGATTATTCAACGAATAGTTGGTTTAAATTTCGGACTTTTTAGAGTGTAATATACCTGCTGTGGTGTGCGTAAATTTACTACGAAAGTGTGTACAACCTACAAAATACACATCTGCTGTTTTATTTCACCCGTAGAATGGTGTAAAGCCGCTAGCAAAAAAGATTTTTACACACGAAAATGTGTAAACGAGAAAAATACATATTCATCGAGTAAATTTGACAAAAAAATTTAAAAATAAACAAAAATGTACTCGACTTAAAGTCGCATTTTTAAACAGATTTTTTAGAGTGTAATTTATTGCAGTAAATCTCACCATACCTAAACTATGCTGAAAACGGGAGATTTTAAATTTTTTTACCATCACCAAAATATTTTCAAACTAAAACTTTCTTAAACCTCGCTCTTGTGATAATTTTCAATTAACTGAACTCAAATTTATATAGATTAAAAAAAGGACAACCCCCATACATATAGTTTAGAAATAAAGCCCTTTTAAAACCATTTCCATTGATACCCCTGTTGAAATACTTTATTGAAAATATTGAATATGTAGTTTGGGTTTCAATTTCTGAACAGTTGGCAACCTTTTTAAACCTCATTCGTTTGACACTCATCATGATAAAAAAAATAGGAAGGTAGAACCGCTGAGAGGAATTTTTCAAATTCTTGACACTCGTCATTGATTTCTTGCCACAAGAAATGCTTGGCACCAGCTTTTACGATTACTTTCGTCATGAGGATATTCCTGCATTGGCGGAGTCACATGTGAAAATGGTCATTCAAGTGTCATTTCGTCATTAATTTGGTACAATTTAAAAATCGGGTCTTCGGCATGAGAAAACGTCCCTCTTGGTCTGAAAAAAAGTATTTTTTTACCCAAAAACGTCTTTTTCAAATTATGCACACGTAATTGTTCTTATTAAACTTTTATTGTATACAAAGGTACATAAGTATATATGTAAGGTATATTAAAATTTCACTTCGAAAGATTACATTTATAATTCAATGTAAACTGGTTTGAGATCGTTAATATAAAAATCATTTTATACGTGCAATTGTGATCAGCTGATTAAGTCATCAACATTTTGATCGATTTTGGCCGGTTCGCTTTTGTTTATTTAATGTTTATTATTTTTCCATGAAAGCCCAGCTCATTATATAACAAACAAAATATAAATCCACATTTCATTTGTGCAAAAAGTCAGAAGTCATTTTAGTTCAGAAAAAAAAAACCTAAAAAAGGCACTAGCCACTAAATAATTTTTTTTTTTGCGTTTTAATTTTCAAAAAGCTTTAGATCTAGTGCTTAAAGCACCAACTTGGCAACTATGGTCAATTGTTTACAAAACCAGCCTTTGAACGCGGGATCCTTAGTCCAAGAATCAAAATGAAAATGCGCGTATGCTTGGTTTGCATCGTATTTAAGTCATTTGTGTACAAAGGATAAATATCTTTTGAAGAAGCTGCTGCAAAAAACAAAGCTTGTTAAGATTTATTAAGAAAATAATTCAAAATCAGTTTTACTTACAAGCAGTGTTGGCGCTGTCCCAAGAAAATGTATCACCGACCAACCCACAAATGTATCCAAAAGTATCCAATTTTCTTTTTTACGTAACCATCTCATAATTTGTAAGAAAACTAAATATTTTCAAGAAAAAGACGTAATTTAACTCATCCTACTAAAGACATGGAATACGTGTATATATATTTTTACATTTCGTAAAATCAAACATTTGTAATTTCAATTCATAAATTACATTTTTTATTCATAAGTATTTTGCAAAGTAAGTCTAATAAATAGTAATTAATATGTTACATTTGTACCTGTACACTCTAAAAAGTGTGTGTAAAACTCGTACTGAAAAGTATCTAATTTTCAACAGGAATCTGTATAAATACCCAGTCGGAACCCAGTCGGAAACAAGTGACTTTTTTTAAAATCAAACTAATTGAAAAACTACTTTGAAACAAGTGAAGTGAGTAAATGTTTCGAATTTTGATACCCTTTTTACCAAAAGAAACAATTCGTGTCTTGGATGTATGAAAAAGCATCTGTGAAGTGCAGACCTAAAGCGTATTTAAATGAAACAGATACTACGTTTATACGCACAGAATAATCGACTTAATTGAAAGCGCATTGACACCGTACACATTTCGCTCTAGTGTTTATAATTACGGCTTTATATCGGCATCAAAGTAACCGTCTTCAAAAGCAAACAAAATAAGCTGTTTTCATTTGACATTTTATAAGTA